GTGTGTGTGTGTGTGTGTGTGTGTGTGTGTGTGTGTGTGTGTGTGGTATGTGGTATAGAGTTGGGACTGGACAGTAAACCTATTTTAATAATATCCATTTAATAGAAGAAAGTATGCCTTCCCAAGAAACAGCTAATGGGCTTCTCTGTGTAGTAAGAGGTGTGTGTGTGTGTGTGTGTGTGTGTGTGTGTGTGTGTGTGTGTGTTTCATGTGCTAAGGACTTGGGACTGGGCAGTGTCCAGAACATATGTAAACAAACTATTTCTTTATCAAGGAAACCGGGTCTATATGCATCCGGATTCCCCCAACACTGGGGCTCACTGGATGCGGCAAGAAATCTCTTTTGGAAAACTAAAGCTGACCAACAACAAGGGAGCATCAAACAACAATGGGCAGGTCAGTCTCTCTCTCTCCCTTTCTCTCTCTCTCTCTCTCTCTCTCTCTCTCTCTCTCTCTCTCTCTCTCTCTCCACACACACACACACACCCTTCTTTAGTTTCTATCAGCACGGAAAACTGGGTAGGATTTGTTTCCATCTGTGACGATTTCGAGAATAATTTCTTCCTCCCCAGATTATATTTAATTCATTAAGTTGCTGTCTTTACCTTCTACCTGACTTCATTCTGGAATTCACCTTTCCAAACACACATACTGATTGATTGATTCATTTTGGAAAATAAACGCAGGAGATTTGAGATTTGTAGGTTGTGAAAAATCTTTGTTCCTCTTCTAAGGAGGAATTGGGGAAAGGGACTGATGATTGGCAGACGGGCTTCGTTTTCCCAGTGCCCAGAGAGGATCCTGGATCCCAGAGATCCTGGTCAGTGTGTCCCAGCCACCCCGTCACCGGGAGAGTCCCACAGCCAGTCTGGTGCAGCGGCCTCCAGTTGGCTCAATCCGGCCCAGAGCGAGCCCCAGGGCTGGTGCGAACAGCCACGCATTTTAAAAGGCGCTCTCTTTTCTTTTCGCGGACAGATGGTGGTTTTACAGTCCTTGCACAAGTACCAACCCCGTCTGCACGTGGTAGAAGTGAACGAGGATGGCACAGAGGACACCAGCCAGCCTGGCCGCGTCCAGACGTTCACTTTCCCGGAGACTCAGTTCATCGCTGTCACCGCCTACCAGAACACGGATGTAAGGAGGCTCAGGGCTGGGCGCGGGCAAGTGGCACCCCCTTATCCCCTGGTCTTCCATTACCCTGCGCATACTAGCTTCGGCCACAAATGGCCCTACAGCAGGGCTTAGGATAGTGCTAGGCGCCTGCCAGGCCCTTCCCCATACACCTAGCCGGTGGGGAAGCTCTGCCTGTGTACTTCCAGCCCCGCTACGCCCCCCACCCCACCCCCAGTTGTGCAGTGGCCAAGATTTCTAGGACCGATCATTTCCGAGCTTTAGTTTGGTCCTTAAACTAGAACACGTCAAAATGTGTATTTTCTTCCTTGGGGAAATCTCGCTTTCAGGAAACAATTAACAAGTTAGGAAATCTAAAATAAAATGTTTCTAAAATCTCATAGCTGGTGTCTAAAATGAACAGATATTACTGTTTTGAGAGTTCTGAGCAGGAAAGGGAGTACAGACACATTCGTAGTTATGCAATGTGAAAACTCCAATAAAATCAAGTTACGGGGACTAATGGAGTTGGTTAGCACTAGAACTTTTGCAGTTTTTGCATGTTTGCAAAAACTGAGGTGACTCTCTAGAACGATAGAAGTTTTGTGTTTGGTCATGCAAGTCAAAATATCAGAAATAGGAACGATTATTTCAAATCAGCCCAATTTTAAAATGCAGCTTACAGTTTTTTTTTTCCATTGAGAATCAGAATTGGCCCATTTAAAAAAAATATATCTATGGTTAAACGCTTGAAAACAGTAAAGAGTTAAAAATATTAAGGATTTTTGTCTTGGTGCATCACACGTAGTCAGTATTTTGTAATGACTATTTGAATCAACGTATAGCACACAGGAGAACTAACTGAAATGCTATTGGGTCTTATTAATTTAAACCCAGTTCCACAACTTTCCCAATACTTATTGCTGTTCCTCTCCTGCTATGCTCTTAAAGTTTTGTTAGAGAACCTTTGCTGTTTGATGGCTCAGTAGGCCCAAGACCCTGTCAATGGCAGATGATATAGTCTCAAACACACAACTTTCCCATGCAGAAGGTGAGACCACAATCACCCTTTCTTCTCTTCCTCCAGATTACACAACTAAAAATAGATCACAACCCCTTTGCAAAAGGATTTCGAGATAATTATGACACGTAAGTAATTTTCCATGTTCCTTCGCAGATAACTATTGAACTGGCCACTAGCTTAAGGGTCGTTGTTGTGTTTCAGGATTCTGAAAGTCAAATGTGTGAGAAAATTGGTTGGGATTTTCCCTCCCTTATCATGTTGGTGCTCTCTCTGGTAACCTTGTGGCCTGGTATTTGTGTGATTTCGGTTAGAAGGTTTTTCCCTACTTATCCTTAGCTTTCTTTCAAATTCCAAAGATGTTGGCCACCGCTGGGGTTGGCTGACTGGCTGAGGAAGCTGTCCTGGTTCTTCCCAGTGCTTGTTGTGTTTGTGGCTGCAGATGCTCAGTTCAGATCGTCTGGGTCTGAAATGGGGGGCTACTCTGCCTGAAAGTACATGTGGCCCTGGCAGTTGTTATAGTCTCCTTGGCATATGTGACTTTGAGTTCTCCATGTCCAAGTTTTGCGTGAGAGCCTCTCCTGTGCAGTTTCCTGTGGACCCAAGGAAGACGTGCTCTCCCCAGGCGAATTGGTGAGCAGAGCCTGACTCAGTCACTACAGGCTTTGGGCAGCACTGAGGTGTGGTTGCATCGTATTCGCAAGCTTCAGAAGAAATATGGCTCCTCTTACTTTTTGCATACATGGTTTTATTAAATGTGTTGGTTCCCTTTCTTTGCCCCCCCCCCATCTCTAGGCCTTTCTCAGAGCAAGACTGTCGTTTGGGGCAGCAGTAGATACAAACTGAATTCTTTCTAGATTTGTTCTGGGATTCTCATGCAAGGACTATAGCCCCTAAGAGTTTTCAGATAGTGTTATATAGCAAAATGTAAAGTGCGATGGTGTGATTTGCCTACTTTTTTTCTGTCTATTAAAGATAAAGAGAAATATGCACTTTAATTTCCTGGCCTTGGGATAGAGATAAAGTGTTGGCTAGGTCTTTGACTAGGAACAGATTAAATGTGTGGAGGAAGAGACAAGGAGCTCCTGTACCCCAGTCTCCAGACACCATCTCCCCTCTCAATATTTTTTATCAGTGAGGGAGTAACTGGTGTCTACTGGCTCCAACTTTCTTACAGGTCCCCTAAAAGCAGTTCAAAGCAGTCCTCTTCAAAATCACAAATGTGATTCTCTAGAATAAAACTTTGCTGCTTCAGGTCTCAAAATATGAAAAAAGATGGACTCCAAACAGTGGAAAGAATGTGGCCCAAGAGACTAGGGATGTTGGAAGAGAGTTGTACAGATTTTGAGCTTTTAATTCTGCTAACATCTGTTCATAAGCATTTATTTTGCACAAATCAATTCAGTAATCCCAAGTGTTTTGAGAGCTGGATGGGCATCTAAACTGTATCTTTCTCAGACTGCTTTTTTTTTTCTTTTAAAGAATATTGTGGTGGCAAACAGAGAAGATATTTGTACATTGCTAATTATGTTCCCTTTCTGCTTTCCTCCACTTAAAAAAATGAAGCAGGAATTAAATTTCAGGAGGGAATATTTTATTAATTAATTTATTTATTTGTAAGCAGAATGCCCCTGGGCAGCCATTGTAACTCTCATCTGCCCCTGTCCTCTGGCTGCCTTCTATTGGATAAGCCCCTCCCTTTCTTAAATCACCATAAGTTTGTTGTAAAGATTTGCCTATACAAAAGCAATCCCTGGTTTTAGGGGGATGAGAGGGAGTTGAGTAGTTTTAACACTCTCCTCTTTAAGCTTAGTAATCTGGGCCTGGTTTGATTAGAGGGCATGGGGGGGGCATGAGAGTTCAAGGGGTCCTAGAAGATTGCTTAACTACACCCTGGGAAGTTGTCTCTCTTTAGGATTAAGATCTGACAATACCAAGGCACTACTTTAAAACAGTGTGTTGACTAAAGATGCAAACACTTGTGTATGAGCTAAATAAAAAGTGAGGTATGTTTGCATGTTTATGAGGGAACACAGCATTGACCAACTTCAATTCTAATGGGTTCACGTAGGCCTAGGGCCTAAAGTGAATATTTTATCTAAGGTAATTCCCCCCAAACATAATCTCTCTTGATTATTGGGAAGTTCTATAACTTTCCCTTGCCTCAGTTTCCTTATCAGGAAAGTGAAATAATAGTACCTAAGAGAATTGTTGTGTGCTTATGTAAACAGTTCCCATGTGTCCAACCCAGCACACCTAAGCTCTGTAAAGAAGGGTTAGTTATTAGTGGTGGGTTGCTTGGAGGAAGGTGTTAACTGTAAGTTCCCCCCAAAAGGGCCTTTTCCCTCCTCCTTTTCTTTTAGTAATGGATCAAAAGCTGGGTAGAGAAGACTAAAGTACACTTTTTCTTCTAAAGAATTTTACTGATTATTAAGTGTTGCTTCCAAGTAGTAATTTCTATTTTTTTGCAGTGGTAGAGATGGGAATTAAAGGGCGTTCATGGTGGGGGGGGGGCAGCAGACAAAACTACCTAGAGGATTCCAGCAGCAATCCTCTGGGACTCTGGCCGGTGAAAGTCAGCCTTTGATGTTATTACCTGGACAAGTCTGTCCCCACTCTCCCCTCGCGGTTTCCTCCCTGGGGATTTCTTAAACTACCTAGAAAAAGAAAAGGAATCCTCTCAACTACTCAATAAACATAGGAGGTCTTAAATGGGTGGAGAGAGTGGGCCACTTGTTTAGAAATTTCACTCGGAAATTCCCCAGAGAGGAAAGGCCCAACGGGCAAAGAGCAACTTGGTGCTTGGATAACTCTGCCATAATTTGAGTACAATTCTGGATCAGTGGATGGAGGCCCCATCTTGTTCCCCGTGGCGTGCACTTAGCGCACTTAGCGGTAACGGGAAGATGGAAGACCTCCACTCTTCACTGTGGGTCCGGCTCAGGGTCCTGCAGATAAACTGATCTCCCTCCAGTTTGGGCTAGGGAGGGTGCGGGTCTGTGATCTTCTGCTGATTGCACCCTGTATGGCAAACGCAACTTCCAGATGGACGGTGTGCGGGTGGGCAACACTAGAGGTGGCTTTCCCTCCAGGACCCTCCAGGGACCTCCGCGCCACCCCTCGGTTCTCTCTTTCTCCCTTCCCCTCAGGATCTACACGGGCTGCGACATGGACCGCCTGACCCCGTCGCCCAACGACTCTCCGCGCTCGCAGATCGTGCCCGGCGCCCGCTACGCCATGGCCGGCTCTTTCCTGCAGGACCAGTTCGTGAGCAACTACGCCAAGGCCCGCTTCCACCCGGGCGCCGGCGCGGGCCCCGGGCCGGGGACGGACCGCAGCGTGCCGCACACCAACGCGCTGCTGCAGCAAAAACAGCGCCTTGGCGTAGCGGGCGCCGGGCACGATCTGCGAGCGCGG